AGTAGTAATTCATTTATTAATATTTCCTGTTTACAACAACCTTGAATTTTCTATTAAAATAAAAGGAAATGACAACGCTATAGTGATTATAGTCAAACCTATATAAACAGTTTAAAAAAAAAACTCCGATAGTTCTTTTTTGTACGGGCAATTTTAAACCTATGTCTTTTTTTTGCCGATGTTTGTGTTTCATCGTGTTTGTTCATGTTTTTAGGTCACCTGAGTAAACTCAGGTGACCTATTGCCATCCGTTTTTGTCCGTCGTCGTGCGTCGTGTGTTAACATTTGGACATTTTCAGCTTCTTCTCTGGAACCACTGAACCAATTTCAACCAAATTTGGCACAAAGCATCTATGGGTGAAGTGCAACAAAAAATGTGAATTTCATGATCCCTGCCCCCCTGGGTCCTGGGGGGTGGGGCCAAAACCACTAAAATTAATACAATCTTTAAAAATCTTCTACTTTACTCCTGGACATCAAGCAGTCAAACTGTTTGCATGATTGTAATCAGCCTTGAGTCCTTTACCAAATTTGTGAAATTCATGGCCCTGGGGTTAGGGGTACTTGTGCTAGGGTTGGGCTAAATAAGTATATAGTGAAAATGCGTTATTTCTTTGAAAATCTTCTTCTCTGCTCCTGGGTATAAAATAAACTAATTAAGTACATAGTTACATGTATGATGAGCAAGAGTGCTTTTACCAAAATTGTGAATTTTTTGGCCCCAGGGTCAGGGGTTTTTGTGTTAGGGCGGGGCTCAATTGATTATATAGAGAAAATACATGAATTCTTTGAAAATCTTCTTCTTTGCTCCTGGGTATTAAATAAACTAAGTAAGTGCATAGTTATGTTAAGCAAGAGTGCCTCTACCAAATTGTGAATATTATGGCCCCAGGGTCAGGGGTTCTGGTGTTAGTGGGGCTATATTGATTATACATGTATAGTGAAAAAAACATGAAATCTTTGAATATTTTCTTCTTTGCACCTACGTTTTAAGCAGATGAACTACCTATATAGTTATGAGCAAGGGCCCTAATCTTCAAGAATTGTAAATTTCAAGGCCCCACGGTCAGTTGCACCATAGAGGGGGGTGGGGGTGGGGGGCTGTACTTATATACTGAAAATGAATGAATTGTTTGAAATGTGCTCCTTGGTATTAATCAAATATTTTTGAAAAGCATGAATGCCTTTAAAATTCCATAAATTGTACAATGTGTGGATCTAGCCCTAAGAGTCAAGGGTTTATGTGTGGTAGCGGCACTAATCATTATTGCTGAATATTACTGATTTGTTGAAATGCATTTTTGTTCCCCTACCCTGCCTATGGATATTAAGTAACCAAACTAAGGAACTCCTAAGTGTATAGTTATGATGACCAAATTGTAAATGCTATAGCATCTGGCTTAAAACATGGATCAAATTTAATCACTGGAAAGTTGTTGAATAATGCTCAGGTGACCTATAAGTCCCATGGGCCTCTTGTTATAAATTACATACCCTCTTTAGAGACCACAGTTTAGGAAATGATTTCACTTCGTGCATGAGAACTTCCTGATATTTGTAATAAAATAATATCACAAGTGATTTTTTTGTGGGTTTCTTTTCTTAAATCCGACTTAACTCAGCAGTAAACAAGTATGTGATTTATTGAAGAGATACACCATTTTTCCATTTTTTTTTCATTTTGAATAATTTACAATTAAATGAATCATTTTAAACTGTGATATTATTTTAAAATCCAAATAACTATTAAACTTTGCATTTGATTGTATCAGAATTTTCTTATATGAATGCATGAATCTGCATTTGTCAGTGTTTTAATAACCTTTACTATCATAACCTTTTTTTATGAATCACTTGTCGAAACATGCTGTCAAAATCAACGTATGAAATGTCCATATTAACAAATATTATTATTATTATCTATCTGTCAACCAGTATGCGATACTACCGGCATGCAGTGTTCAAATTACACAAAAACAAGAAGATGGGATGATGGGTCTTTCTTAAGATCGTGTTATTAACAACCAAATTAAAATTAATTAGAGAAGGCAAAATTAGTATTTGTTTCGGAACTCACTATGTTTAATAATGTCTTGTTTCACCAGGTTCAAAATTCATTTTACATACAGCTCGACTTGTCTGTGACCAAAAGAACCTAATGCGATAATGTTTGTTATTCCATATGTTTCAAAACGTTACGCCTTTTACAGTTTTGAGTAGATTTCAGTATAATTTTGCACATAAGTAGATTGAATTGTTATTCAGTATAATTATCAGATCTTGATTCAGATAAACAGTAATTCCTTGGTTAATAAAAATTTAATGTTTTATTGTTTCACAACTCTATTCCTTCTAGAGATTGATCAATTATAAATATATATAACGTGTCATACAAGAAAACCACTCTGAAAAACTAAATTCTTTTATTTACATTATTGATTTTGACATTTTTACTTAAAGAAGAAATTTCTTTGAAATTCATTCAAAATGCTACTCTAAGTAGTCTACTGTAAATAACTTATGTCAATATTGTATTTTTGTTTGCTTCTGAAGAACTGTTTTACCATGCTCACTAAAAATAGCAATACGTGGCTAATCTGTGTTCTCCTCGTACAGTTTTGGTATGATAACCATTATACTGAATTTTTAAAAGGCTTCAGTATTTTAATGCTTTGATTTCATTTAAATTACAACAAACAGAACAGAATTCATTCGAAGCATGATCAAGTGGCTCCTCTTCTGTGTAATGTGGAGTGGCTACACTTCTATCTATATTAAACAACTGCTCACAGAGAATGAAACGGGAAGTCTTAGTCACGTGGTTGTAACCAATCAAAGTTTGATTATCGGAGCTACAAATGTTATATACCAAATGGACCTTGATCTAAATTTAAAGATTAAAATCATCACAGGTCCTCAAAACGACTCACAGAAATGTGGAATAAATTTGGACAGCTGTGCTGTCTTGAATGAATTGTCACCCATGGATAACCACAATAGAATTCTGTTGCTTCATTCTAATCAGATTGTGATCTGTGGAAGCATTTTCCAAGGAAAATGTGAAATAAGAAATGTCAAAAATATCAGTGAGGTCATTTTTATTGGAAATTATCCTGTGGTTTCGAATGAAATTGATGCAAAAACAATAGCATTTATCACTCGAGTTATGAATAGTGCTACAAGAGGAACGGAACCAATGATTTATGTAGCAACCGAATATACAAGATTTGACAAGTCCCGAAATTCATTAGAATTTAATCTTAGACGATACCATCCTCTTGTTAGCACTCGACTTTTTGATTTTCAACTGCGAGGAAAAATTGTTTATGAAACTGAAAACAAATATGAGAAACCCGGACTGATATCATATGTTCATGGGTTCGCTTCAGGAAACTACAGCTATATTGTTTTGAATGAGAGGAATCCAGATGATACATCACACTACTCTAAAATTGTTCATATGTGTAGGAGGGATGACTTATTAAAAACCTTTTTGGAAATACCATTAACTTGCAAATCAAATATCAAGACTTTCAACTTTCTGAAGGATGCAAAGATATTTAAACCCGGTATGATATTATTGAAATCCCTGCAGGAAGTGTTCTCCGACCTGACGTCAGAAGATGATGTCATAATCGGACTTTTCAGTCAAAGTGTAGACAACAGTTCAGCTATATGTCTGTTCATTATGCCTGAGGTGACACGGAAAGTCTTAACCAATATAAAGACATGTCTAAACGGAAGCACAGAATATGCAGCCAATTTAAAATACAAAAATGGATTACAATGCACAAAACTAGACGTGGTGAGGATGATATGGATAATTTTTAAGAATTTAGATATTTTATATTTGTATTTAATTGGTTTAAATGCACAAAAATAGAACAGGTATGTATAATGACCATAGATATAATGATTTAAATGCACAAAGATAGATCAAGTATATATAAGGACCATAGAACAAATTTTTATTAAGAGTTGTGGTAATATTTGATGTGATTCGTTGATTGGTTCTCTTTTTAACACCCCGATTCAAATTTCATTCGCTAAAGTTCACTTTTAATATTGATATTCAAATCATTTCTACTGAGAGAAATGTGCATAAAAGACACTAGCCCCATGTTTCTTAAAAAGACTCGCTGTTACATGTAATCTGAACCTAAAACTACGGATCGGTTTACGTATCTCAATTATCAAGTTTTAATAACTGTCATCAATGTATTGCAATGGATCATTGCAACTACTGCATTTTATTACACTATGATTCATCAGTTACGTTGGACTTTACATAGATCATCATAGAAAAATGAAGATGACGAACATACGAGGGTTGTTAGAAAAGTTCGCGGACACATTGAATTACGGAAAATCTATTCTGTACAGTGATGTATGACCTATGTCTGAATAAATTCCTACTCTTTGTTTATAAGTATGTAAAAAATCAGGTCCATTTACTAATATCTTGAAAAATTACAACGATTTTTAATATGAGGTCATGGGATCACGGAGCAATCACTTGACGTAAGGCGACGTGTCAACCAGATTTCAAACCGTTAAGCTTTGTTCTATAAATCTTTCATTTTTTCCGATTTTTCTTATCCTTTTTTCTACTTTAAAATTGGATATCTTTATCAAGACATGTTACTTTTCTACTATAATGTCTTTTGTACTGATTAGGATATTGTTGAGATATTATTGAGATCTTTAAAAAAAGTTTATGTAGTTAATCGATCAGGTATGGAAACTATAACTATGCAAAACCATATATGCGCAACGTCCATGCGATAAGTGGTATTGAAGTATCGATGGAGTTAATCATTGAAAATGTTAATCCTGCCATTCTTATAAAGCTACAACCATTCAAACACTTTTGTCGTTTGTATATGTAGGATATTTCCGCCAGAATCTTGAACATTTTAATCTCTTTTTACTTATTGTTCATTTATAAATGGCTATAATACAGTCATATACTCTCCAATTTATTTCAAAATTTCTCCCAGTGACGTTTAATGAATATTGTAGCGAAAGGTGAAACATCATAAATTTCTCTGCGCTACAATTGTGCAATTTTTAATTTTAATAAAGAGTCTTTGTGATATAAACCTGCCAAAATGTAGCATGCTCCGTGAAGCACGTTTTATCAAAATAAAAAAGCTGTATATTTTTCAATGATCACCGGAGAACGCCAAATTTTCGTATATTTATTGGAAAATAGCTTAAGATTGTATCTGGAAAGTTTGACCGGTTTCGTGGAAATAGCGCGCTCACAATAGAAAAACTCGTCCGCGAACTTTTCTAACACCCCTCGTATAGATGGATGTCAAAATATCTAGGTAGGAACATGAATCCAGAAAAAGTATTAATTATATGCTGTTGCATGGTAAAACCCTAAGCGCCTAAATAATTTTCTGGTAGACGAAACATTTCATAGACAAACTTTGCAAGAAAGAGCTTTTGATTTGTATGGAACACGTGAGCCAAAATACAATGCAATGTGAGATTCGTGTTGTTGAAAAAGTCATGATATAGACCACATGATTTTGATATACTGACTCTAAAAAAAGATTTTTGAATTCCTTGTAACATAAAATTATCTATCAGTAACTTCTTTTGGTTAAAAAAGGGAAAGGTGAAGATACTTTTGAAAATCGAATATAAGTTGTGGAAAGTAATAGCATAAAAGGAGTGTGATGAACTGAAGCCATCTCTTTGTTCCAAAAAAATTAATGTGATTTAGACTTCATTGTCTATAGTAGGTAAAATATAGATATGAAACGAATGTAGCAGACTCTGTACATATAGTGTCTCATATTTAAAGCTGCTTGTTTTAAATTTTAGTCTTCATTCACTGATGATGAGTTGCTGTGCTCAAGTTCTCTGAATTTGATAATTGATGGGAAAACTCCAGTAGTTTCTGCCCCGGTCATCCAGTTTCCAGCAACTGAAGACAACCCGGAATCTTTGGCTGTCACTATCACAGGAGAACACACTGTAGTTTTCCTTGGCACCTCCTATGGGCATATTAAAAAGGTAACATATACTTGCTAAGTAAACCGAACGACTTAACAGTTTTCAGAATGTTTAGAGTTTGAAAATATAGAAAAGGAATTACTAGTTTAAACTTGCACTAAAGATGACTGTTTTTTTTTTCTACGGCAATTACTGATATAGAGTTTTTTTATGGCTTTAATGGCGTTTACTTTTTCTATAAAGGATAACTTTGTTTAATAATGGTTTTGCTTTGATTGCACACTTTTCTTTGAAATGTTTTATGCAATCATAAAAAACTACTCTCTCAGAAAAAATGCACTATTGCATTCTTTTTCTCTTTCATTTAAAAAACTTAACATGATGACGTTGTAATGATGTTGGTTTTAACCTAAAACTCATTAACTTCTAAAAAGTGGATAATAGATAGTAAATGTTTTAACTGTACCCGTTGTCATTCATCAAAGAACAAAATTTTACATAAAAAGAATTAAATAGAAATATCATTACCTTTTTGTATTCGAAAATTCAAGGTTAAATATGAAAAAGAAAAATGAGCGAACAATTAATTTTTGTCCATTTTATTCTAATTTTTAAAGTAAACAGAATTGATATACTAATCAATTGAGCGAAAATAGAACGAACAAATTACAACAGAACTTCCCATGTGCGGGAACTTTATTTGTTTAGTTTGCATAAATTCGAGCACACATGTAAGTTACGAACCTATTTTTTATTGACGTGGCCTTCAAACACATTTAAGGTATACCATAGAATAAATGATCAACAAAGATCCCTTTAAAATCGTTCCATAGAAAATACCCCAACATTCATCATAAGAGATCTCAAGAGAAGGGTATGCCACTCCAGTTTCTAACAATGTACAATCTTCAAATGCATCACTTTAATTCTCAAACACAATCATAGTCAGCAGCCAGTGAGGTAAACACAACAAGAGGACCGAGAAAACGAATGTATTAATTATTACTCAAACATCCAAGAGAGGTCATTGCGTTAAGTTATCTAAGAAGACTTTTTACTTTTGGCAGTTGGCTCTAAAAACGTCCATGATAGCAGAGCTGTATGATTCCGCCATTGTAGTGGACAAGGGTCATACTATAAAGCAGGATATGGTGTTTGATGATTCTCAGATGTATTTTTACGCCATGAGTGATAGAAAAGTAAGAATGGGTAGCTGATTGACAGTAAACATGCCATTATTACAATTATTAAATGAAAGAAAAGAAATAAAGAAACTAGTGTACTTTTTGCGACTTGCAAAGGAAAATGTAAACCTTGGAAACAATGAATTGAAACAGTTTTCAATCTTCATAACAATATAGTCACCCTGTAAATAACATTAAAAAAAATATAAAAACAACAAAAAAAAAATCTTATGTACTTTTTGTGAAATGTATGCAGTGTACAATCAAATTTCATTTAAACAAAATATTTGAAAATAAAAGAAAGTCCTATATATATGTACACGTATGATATTCTTGGTGCTTTTTTGATAGAAAAATATCATTGAACAGTAAATCATTTCCAGGTGGCCAAGATTCCAGTTCAGAATTGTTCCCAGTACACCAAATGTAGAGACTGTCTGTCAAGTAATGACCCATATTGCGGATGGTGTGTCCTAGTCCTCAGGTCTGTACAAAATTATTTGATTTTCTGCTATTTTTATGGAATATTCACAACATATGACATATGGAGATTTTTTCCCCAATTTGCTTAGACTTTTGTATTTGCCATGAATGGTCATTTTTCCCTTACTTGTAGATGCTCATTAAAAAGCGATTGCTACAACCCTACAAACATTCGATGGGTGAACCGTCCAGAGCAGGAAAAAAGATGTATCGAAATCCTCAATGTTTCTCCACCAATGCTCCATGTTTCCCAAAATATCACGGTAAGAACTGAATTCTATATTTTTGTGTACAGAAAATTAAGTTTTAATTTGTCTCGTGTTTTTCTACCATAAAACGTTATTTTTCTATAAAACATGATAGTCGATTTGTAACTCATAATTATGTTGATGTCTCTCACGGGAGACCATGTCATCCCTTGGAGGATATTCCATTAGACGTTTAGTGTCACCCACGTGGCGCAGTGGTTCATACGTCTGCTCTAGAGGAGCGATGTAAGGACTTCATGATTACTCAAATCCCACCGTGGGACGAGGAGACCGGCCCTTTGAACAGGTCTGGACGATTTCTAAATAAGGAAGTCAAGAACGATAACCGTGAATTGCTAGTAATACACAGAATAAACAAGGCACTTATCCTTCTGACCAATCAGATAACAGCATTTAGACAAATCCATAAGAAAATGAATAAAACACGTGGTTTTTAAGTTTTTTGCTCAAAAGAGTTTTTTAGAACAAACTCTTTGTAAACTTTATGCGCATTTGGGAATAATATAATATTTATGACAATTCTACCGTGAACAAACACGACTTGAAAGCTTAGAATACGTTTAAGTGGGATAAAAAAAATCCGTCTCTAGGAAGTAGCAATCCCAAAAGTTTAACTTACGTTAAAAATTTGATATAAATACGGTAAATTTTCAGTTTTTAGAGCCTGACATAAAAATATTATCCAAAAGATATCAGCCTTTATCATTTTTTAATGTTTATTATAGAATAGTCCATGCAGTTTCTGATATGCGAGGTAAGATATTGGGATAAAACGCATTCATGTATAATTACAGGATTCTCTTTTCTCCACATTATACGCCTTTCCTTATGCCCATTTAAAGTCTGCATAGCTAAGTATTCGGCGCTCATGAAACCCGTGATAATTTAAAACTATGTGTATAGTCCATACGTACGATAAACACAGTGTGAGTTGATCTATACACATGGAATTTAAGCATTATCGATGAAAATCTGACGGCTAAGCAAAATTATATTTACCATCATATAATATATTCTGGTAAATGTTATAATTGAACTTGATAAAAACTTGTTGGTGCGATCTATACCTCTGTAAACGATTACATTCTATCGTGCATTAATTTTTTTTCTTTACCGAGGAAAAAATGTCAAGGTTGTTCACGGTAAAAATGTGGGGAATACCTTCTTCTTCAAAAGTTTTCATCTTACTTCTACAGATTTTTTGTTAAAAAAATCTTTTTGAGGAAAAAAACAAAAGCACGTGTTATCTTTTTGTTCTTTTAAGATATGTTTTGGTATGTGTAAAAATGCTGTTGTCTGATTAGACAGAAAAATAACTACGTGTAGATGATGTACATTTATAGCAACTTTCGGTTATCGTTCTTGACTTCCATATTTAGAAATCGTCCAGACCTGTTGAATGAGACCATAAAACTTGCATTGGGTTCTGTGTCGCAACATTCGTAGGTGCTGACACAAAATAGGTCCCTCCCTGCTCAGTGGCCCTTCGCGCCGGGTAAAGGACTAATTTGTATTTTTCCTCCCCTGGCGTCTCCATATCAGTGAAAAATTTCAAGAGGGACGTTAAAACATACAAAAAAAAATTATTTTATTTTTTTCAATAAGCCATTACATTTTTCGAGTATTTTACCGGATTTCTCACTAATTTGTTTTATAATGACGGTAAATGACAGAAACAACCATTTTTATGAGACCAGATTCAATGAAACGTTCAATTTATTCTTTTAGATTATTACTATATGTTTTATAAATAAGAATGTTTTACTTTTTAGTTGAATCTAACAATCAAAGATCTGCCTCGAGATGACAATACCTCCTACAATTGTGTGTTTAGTTTTCCTACCGGAGATCAAGTTTTATCCCCCGCTGCTCAGTGGAGTCTTGGTACTCATTGTAGGAATCCTAATCTTAGCATCAACTTTAACAGCAGCCTGGGTAAGATAATAAAAGTACTTGTAAATATATTAAACCATATCGTGCATCAATAGCCGTAATATATCATTCAGACTATGAAAGGGGTGCATATATGACACTTAGGTGTTTAATTAAGTTTTTTAATGTAACAGGACTGATTAAAAGGATAAGTGTTTTTTTAAAACAGTCACAAGTATAGATGTTGGCAAACTTTCAGATAACGAATCTTGTTCAGAAGTTAATTCTGTGTGAGAATGATCGTTATAGCAAATACATTCAAGTTGCAAGTTTGAAATATTAATATAAATTGTCTAAAAGATTCGAGATTTAAAACCGACAATCGTTATTATGAAAGATTACAAGATTACAAATTACTTTCTCATGAAATTACACAGGCCTTTTTCCTG